CCATCTTGTTTTTCCGTCCACCAATTTAATTGGAATTGTAAGCCATCTTGCAAACCATAATTACTGGATTTAAAAACAATCTAACCTGAGCTCAGAATATTATTCTTGTTTTAGGGAAGATTGGATGAAATCCGAGTAAATTAAAATAAGGTATTCTAAAGTACCACCATGATACAGAAAGACGGACATTTTTTTTGTATATTATATAAGTAGATTTTTGTTCATCATCACCTCACTATACGTCCCTACCGAGGGGCTTGGAGCCTACCCTAAGTTAAGTGTGATTAGGTCATAGTCAACCACGCTGACAAAGTGCGGGTTGGTTGACTACACACATATTTGAATTTCTTCTCAGATATGTGCAGGTTGCATCACGATGTTTTCCTTCACCGTAAGAACGTCGGATAAAATGTACATATGTAAATCGGAAATCGAAAAACACATTGCTACATGGCGGGATTCGAACACAGGACCTGCAGATTGCAAGTCAAGTGTTTGACCCCTGAGCCAGCGACACTCCAGACGTTTAGATTTTTGTTAATTTGCTAATATTTCTTGTACCATTCTAAGTAAGTTCTATGCTTGTGATAGGATATGGTTTACGATAATAGTAGAATAGCGGGATTCGAACTCTCGACCACCTAATCGGAAATCCATAGCCTTAACCATTAGGCTATTAGCTATTCCACTGACATAACCGTTTAGTTAAAAATTCAGTAATTAATTGCATGACGAATAATACATGTTTGTAAAACAGGAATAGAATTTTAATTATTCACTTCCGATACATAATCTCAGCGATAATCCTCTATAATCTCGTGTTAATTATAATTATATAAACACAACTGTATCTTGGCGGGAACAAAAACGCGCGAAAATAGTACATTGATGTCTTAACAACAGATTTTCCCACGAACGTAGACTTATGTAGAAAGTGATTGTTTAAATGTTCGCGTGTGGTGTAGATGTTCCGCCTTGTACTGTAATTAATTACTTATGTAAAGCTTATTAATTAATATGACAGTCAGACATGCAAACTTCACAAACCTTAGTATAAGTATCTTTGTATAAGCATATTAAGGGTTTAACGGCGACTCGTCAACTCCACAAAGTTGCCACCACTGGAGCAATCCGTGTTAACCTTAAATATGCTTTTATTTGACAAAAAAGACATCTATCATATTTTTTCCCAATGTTAAGGGAATAATTTTAATTTTTCATGTGGCAACACAAAATTACGTCAAAATTTACCATAGCATCACTAAAAAATGATGATTTCGAATTTTAAATTATGTCCAGTTTATTTTAGAAACGAACAAAGTCCGTTTCCATGTAAATGAAGCCCATGCGGTTTGAAACAAACATTAAGCAAATGTTTGTCCGCGAATATTTCTAGAACTGTTAAAACTTCACCATCCGTTTAAAACATGTTCACAATGTTTGAACTAACAACCTTCCGGGCAGTGGTTTAATTAGTGGTTAATTAAAATTTACTAAAATACCTATTATTTGTATAAAACTTTTTATTTTTAATATAGATTTAGTTTGCTACACAAATATTAATGTTACCAGTTATAAATTTTCGAAATATTACAATTATTTTCATAACTATTCGTTAAATATACGAACATTAATTTGTTTCATACCCAAAATTATTATGACCGAGATTTATATAGGTTATTATGAAAGTACAGTCAACAAAAATATTATGTTATAATAGTAGTCAGTAATTAGTCAATCAGTACTTTCTAATTTAATTATTTATAAAAATCAAACTTCATTCTTTATTATTCACTGTCACTTTTAAAATTTATATGTTAACCACAGATAAAAAATCCGGTAATTTATTCCATAAGTAACGAAATAACCCAGTTAAGCTTTACGGTTCGGCGGTCTGGCAGTTTTACTTTTTTTTTTTAATCTGCCACTTGAAACAGGCCTGAGTTCGCAATCACGCAACCTGTTGTAGATACAAGTTGTATTAAATAACGGAAGAACTTTCTGAATACATATTGAAGTAGATTAGAAGTTTTATTGACATTGACCAAGATACCACTGGAGAGACTCCGTAAAGCTGGACGTGCATTGCCTCCAAGCAGCCCAAGGCGGCGGAGGCGATTCCTTGTGAAGACCAGGACCCGGGATACGGCGCTGTGCCAGCTTTAGTATTGTAGCATTGGGGGGAAGTGACTATTAACTTTTTTCTGTCATCTGGAAGAGTTAATTTGTTTGTTTAAACGCGCTAATCTCAGAAACTACTGGTCCGATTTGAATTATTGTTTTTTAGTTGGGTAGTTCATTTATAGAGAAAGGCTTTAGGCTATGTAATATTACGCTGCGACAAATAGTTTTTTTTTTAATTCCGCGCAGACGGAGTCGCGGGTGACAGCTAGTATTTATTAACTGGGTAACATTGATTCCATCATGGGTGTTCAAATTAAAAAAAAATTCAAAGTATAAACATAAACCACGAATGAAACTCGACTGTCTTTATCATCATGTTTTTATGTCATTAATAAAACAGAAGCATCGTTAAAACTTTTTATCGCCCATAAAATCTACACTATTTTAATACTAAAAGGAGTTGCTCATAAAAAAACCATGTATTATAAACTTAAACATATTGAGAATACATTATTCAAGGCTTTGCTAGTACATATCTATATTATAAATACAAATGTTTAGATTATAGATGTTTGTTTGAAGACATCTCCAGAACGGCTGCATGAATCCCTCTTAAATTTGGCATAGATGTAGAACATAGTCTAGAAGAACAGATAACCTACTATTTTTTTAATTCCGCGCGAACGTAGTCGCGGGCGACAGCTAGTGAAACTTTGGAATTTTTTTTAAATTTAATATGACATTGTTATATGAACAACAAGAATAAAAAATAGCTCCAAAATCGAATCTTTCCAACGACTTTAATAGCGTAACATTATACATATTATATACTCGTCGGACGCTACAAACTATCCTATCTTATAGGGTGACCAGTATTTTTTACTCCTAAGACAAGTTACGGAGGAAAAAAATGTTTTTCATAATAAAAAAGAATATTAAGAGGCTTTGTAATAAAAATAACGATGTGAGCATTATCTTGTTAATTACCTTAAATACATTTTAATTGATCTTACTAATATTAAAAATACCAAACTTTATATGTATGGATGGATAAATATTTGTTAGAAGGTAAATCCAGACTAGTTGCGTGGATCTTGATAAAATTTTGCATATATTTAGAACATATTTTGGAAGAACACATTACTTATTAAGTTTGTTTTTAATTACGCGCGGACAAAATCGAGGACGACAGATAAGAATGAAATAAGGAAGAACAAATCCGTTTATATAAAATTTTAAATATGGTTTCCCCAGCCTAGAAACAAGGACTCTAAATAGAACTGGTCCAAACCGGTCTGGGGGCACGCGGGCATAGACTCGTTTGTAGTATCCTATCACATTCGGAAAATGCGGCGTTGAACGCTTTTTGAAAGTACATTATATTTCATTTTTAGAAAGTACTGAGCAACAATACGGCTTTTTTATGTTACAATACTTTTATATCGGTTTTGATTAAAAATTTGGCAGTACGCATAAATTGCCTTTGCTTTTATCTATAAATAAAAAAAATCCTAACTGTCAAAGTTATTTTTGACGTAATTTAAAAATAAAACATGTAACTAGTAAATATCTCTAGTTATCTTTGATTGCTTTTAACTATTCCGTGTCTAGAATTAAACGTATTCAAACGTAACCGACGTTGTGCAATAAAAAGCGTAGCACAGAAACGTTTGAAAACGGAACGTATCGAAAGCAAACCTCGAAAGCAATTCAAGTAGTACACTGCCGTTTGATGAAGATTCACTTTGATGTATTTAATGTATGGTAAAGTCAGACTCTTGATAGATGTAATTAAATAACCTAAAAATGTGTAGTGTCTCTACTTATCCTTTAAATTAAATAAAACAAATTAACTACATCTGTCTTTAAGCGGGCCTAGCACGAATATTTGCGACAATCTTCAATTATGTCAAAATTAGTATGAGATTTAATGTAATTTGCGCCCGATAGGGGGCTGCTCTTAGGTGACCATACGCACAAAAAGTTATATTAGAAGACTGTAAAATTTCGTCTCTAACCGTTGGTTTCTAAGGCTAAAATCTCTGTAAAAACCTATCGTCATCCATGTCACAAGCTTTGACAAAACCCACGGTAAGTGTCGCCATATTTGAAAAACACAGATTCTGTTGTTAAGCACATATCCAGTATCCCGGTATACTGTCCTACCTAATCATTATTTTAAAAAAAAACACAATTCACAAAAAAAATCCGGATAGTTAACAATTCCCTAAAGTGCTTTGTCAAAATTTTAATTTTTACTTGCCTAAATTTTATGAAGTACCCACTGAAATTATTTGTAATAAAAAATATATAACACTAGAAGATTCAAACATGTGCCATGTTTGGAAAATATTTTGGAAAAAGATTGTCAAACTGGAAATCATGTAAACGGATTTAAATTGTCATCCGATGAGTCACCTTTTAAAGCAGTTTTGTCGATTGAATACTACGATAAAAAAATTAAATTAAAAATAATTTAATAAATCGTAAAACGAACTTGATACAAAAGTTATAAAAAAACTGTGTTTAATGAAAAGATCTTAAAACTAAAACGACGATATATATTATTAATTATCCAGACCAACTTTTAACCAGACATCATGAATGACAATGCTAATCATGACAGTAAGTTAATTAAACAAAGAATTAGTTCGATTTTGAAAAACAGGAAAAATCTTAAAATAATTGCAAATAACATTTACTTCACAGTACTTGAAAAGATAAATAGGATTTTATGTAATTTCTACATTAAAACTGAAAGCAACGCATCCATTGTTATTGTTCTTATACGAATTTTATAACAAATACACAAGTTACAGATAAAAATCGAACAAGTGATAATTTGATAACAAAGGAGGTTTATTTATCAAACTTACCTGGATTTAACGATAGCGTTTCGAAAGTAGATAATGAGTCACTGTAGTAGTTTGTCGCACTTAAATGTACACAAAAGTTTATTTTGAACTTAAGAAAATAGTGTTATATGGTTGAACGCAGCACTCGCCCACGCCACACCTCGAACACTTTCAAAACCGGTTCCAACTGTTCAACGTAAAAGTAGTCTCGAGCCGAGAGCAACAGCGAAACATACTCCCTCTCTGAACGCTGCAGTCGAACTGAGGCGATGTGAAAAAAACCTGTATAGTGTTGCCAGAATACTACGCTCGCTTGTGCCACACTTTAAATCCACAGACGCAGAAAAAAAATCACAAAAGAAAAATTCATGAAAATAACATATTAGTTTTTTTTTCATCATAAGTTAATGTAACCATATATGTTTGTTACTCTTTTTTTAATACTTTACAAGGACATGAATATTATTTGTTCTGCTTATCTGAACATCTGTCATATTTTATAAGATTATAGTTTTGTGAGTATTCTGTGGAACAACAAATTACAGTGTATTAAGTGGGAGGCATTTAATATGGAAATCAAAAATAATTTTGCCAGAAATGCTGGTGAATTTCGACACATAGCAACACTGTTAAGCAACTTTCATTACGGTCTCGTCATTCTTCGGTTAACTTCGGCAATGTTCATGAGTTGTGCTTCAGTTTGAAAATTTTAAAATATAACGTACGAAGTAGAAAATAAAAGTGGAATAAATGCTCTTATTATAAATTATTATATTAATAAAACTTTATACCGGTTAAAACGAATATTTGTCATTATTAAGATACCCACAAAACAGTTTATAACTACAAAAAAATAACTTAAGATGTGCTTTGTTTCACAATTAAGTAATTTTAGACATTTTTAGTAAGAATCCTTTGGCGCGAATGACGTACTTTTGTTATAAAGTCCGCTGTCAGAATGAATAGTGAGGGGACATAAACGTCGACATTTTAGTAAGGCTAGTGTTGTGCCAGTACACCGGCACAGTGTCGGATTTTTTTCCTAACAGTAACTACTTAGTATAGAGTGTAAACTATCTTTTATTTTATAGGTTTACTTTTAAAAATTCACATATCACGTTGTTCGTATACAGATTAACCTCGTAAGTTGATAATAACTCTGATCTCATTTTAACTTTAAATCCTATTCCACTTACGAACAGCTTTATGTTCCAGCAACTTCTGGTTGTAGGTGATAAAGTTGAATGTTTTCAAAATATTTTACGCTTTTAGGTTAATATTTAATTAATAATTTATTGTGCAAACAAAACATGACGTAATTTATTTGGAAGGTAAAGGAAAATATTATCAATAATCTAACTTTAAAATGTTGTAAAAGAAAAATAGTTGGTATTTATGAGTAACATTATATTATAAATAATATCTTAATAAATAGAAAACAATTTAAACTACTTAACATATATGTTAATTATATAATTATAACACTTAGTGCATTTTTTATTCAAGGCTTTATTTTATTTCTCATAGTTATAGTTAGGGTAGTGTTAAAATGTGCGTGAATCGCCCCAACTTTGACCGAATGATAAACTCGTACGAAAGGGGCCAGCAAAGAAAGTAGTGCATCGGCCGCCTTTCATTCATCGCTAATTATGGACAAACAATGCAGGATTGTTTCTTGAATTTCTAATAAATCACGACTTTCCCATACAATTCAATATTCAATGTATAATTTGCAAGAACTTACGGCACTACCAACATTATATTAAGTATAAATATTATCAGATATGTTGGCGGCTCTTAACTTCGCGCTAGTCGCTGTGCTGAATACAACAAAACAAAAAATGATGTAGTAGGACGTAGCGGTATGCGGGGGGAGGGTTTTACGTGTCGCACCGATGACTTTAAGCCACCAAGATATTTGAAAAGACTAGTACTACGTAGTGAAGATCGTCGATGGTTCAGAAAGAAACTTGACTTGTAATCTGCAGGTTCTGGGTTCGAATTTTCGATTTCGATTTACATAAGTATATTAATCCGTCGTACTTACGGTGAAGGAAAACATCGTGATGCAACTTACACATATCTGAGAAGAAATTCAAAGACATGTGTTAAGTTAATTCGCACTTGGCCAGCGTGGTTGACTATGGCCTAGTTAGCCCTGACTTAGGGTAGGTTCCGAGTCCCTCAGTGGGTACTTATAGCGAGCTGATGATGATACTAAGTCCTTATATTAATTATGCACCACCTAGTGAGTAACTTTAAGTTACTGAGTAGCTATTATCTCGTGATAACTAAACTAAGCAAAGTTGTTGCTAGATTTCAAGCTTCTTATTACTTGACTAACAAGATGTTCATATGTTTCGTAGACACGTTTTATGTTTTTGTAACCTCCTGTAAATTAAAACACAGAACTGAATTTAACAAATGAGATGTCATTTGTCATTCTTCCAAAAACTGTTACAGGGATGCAGATTCTCATATATCTAGAGATATTTTATTTAACTAAATTATTGTTAGTTGTATTACGATTGACACACTCCTCAGAGATGGATCGTCCCTAAGGCAATGTAGGCACGTGCCTAAGACACGAGATAAGGGGCGCGTCCTTGGAGCGTCAAAATCCCCGTCAGTCCTGTAGCATTGTAGCTTTTGTTTTTATTATTCCTAAGTTCTTCTCTGATATATCGATTCGACTATAGTAAGTATATAAGCCTACAAAGTTTATTACTTTGGTACGAAAAGTATCAATTTTAGTAATAACTTCGCATCTTCAATTAAAAGTCATTTAACGGTTTTTATTTCAATTAATTAATTCAATAAACAATCACGCATAAGCAGAAGTTAGCTGAAAATACTGATTACTATTTTATATTCTACGTTTTATGTCTCTTGTCTCATCTTTTACAATAGATTACATTTATTACCATGTATTGTTAGGAAGAAAATCCGAAACTGCGCCGGTATATCTGCGCAACACTAGCCTTATTAAAATGTCAACGCTTATGTCCCCTCACTAATCAATCTGACACTTGACGTGGTAAAGAAAGCGCGCCATTCGCGCCAACGGATCCTAGTTAATAATGTAAAAAAGTATATTATATCAAGAAGTTAAACACATATTGAACATATACAAGAAATAAACTTATTTAATATTAAAATTTTAGCAAAAATCTGAAATAATTTTCTCCAATGAAAATAACTGCATCATTTTTTTCTCGTAAGTATATCGAACAATGACGTTTATTGACATGTCAAAAAAACTGTGCGACGTCGTGCGAACGTTGTTAAATAATAAAACGAAAGGAAAATGTGTAACGTTTAAGTGCTTTGTTCCCATCATTGTGAAGAGAACGACTAGAAGCGAAACGCCATTAACGAAAGTACTCGATTATGTCTCTTGCACTTGCAATCATTCATAGAGAAATAGACTTACAATCGATGCATTAACCAAAGAAGAAAATGTTACAATATGAGCTTTACTTTAGTATACTTAATGTAATTCTAGAATTTAAGCTAGAAACAAACTTAGAGAACCTAGAAATTCTATTAAGTAGCTTTCGGTTAAAATAATACTGTTGGCTTAAACAGGAAAATAAAATGTCATGGGGGCGCCACAATCGCTTCCATTATCGCGTCACTTTTTATAAGTACGCGAAGAAATGTATTATACACTAGATGTCGCCTTCAATTCCGTCCACGCGTAATTTAGGAAAAACTCAATAAGTAGCTTATGTGTTCTTCCAGTCTATGTTCTATATGTATGCCAAATTTCATCAAGATCTGTTGAGCCGTTCCGGAGATATCTTCTAACAACTCTCGCATTTATATTAGTAACAATGTGGATATTAAAATTGAGGTGTTTTATACTAGTCAGACTATACGTAATATTAAACTAACAGAGATCTTTGTCGTATGAGAAATCTACACTAAGGGCCTGTTTGCGACTTTAAGAAGTAAATGATCGCTAATTGCTATGATATTTGTACAACTAAGTCAACACGTACGCGGGTCCCGTGGCAACTAAATAAAGTTCTTTCAACTCCGCCCTGGACTAGATTGTTTTTGTTCGTAAGTTTTGCAATAATATAGGTATGCTGGTGGCCTAGATAACTATGAATGTTTAAAGACGCTAACAAGAGAATTAAGTTAGAACTTATAACGCATGCTACGAAATTAAGTCCTATTTTAAGTTGATAATATTGCTGTTATTTGAAACCTTAGTATATTGGTGGAATAAATTTAACAGAAGACGAGGTGCTAAAGTCAGTCTGAGTTTTTTTTTTAATTATTATTTTAGTCAAAGAAATTAATAATAAAACATTTAGTTGCCAGTAAGACAATTCTTGAATGATAAAGAGAAACTTTCACCTGCCTTGAAGTGATTGACGTGTGGTCAAAGTGTTAAACTGAAGCGATAAATTACCTGACATCATTATTTGATAAGTAAAACTACGCAATATTTACTTAATTAATATTCGTATTAAGACTGGCAACAAATATTTTTATAACGACAATAAAACAAAAGCAATTTTTTTAAAGAAAGGAAAAACGATAAGCTGGTTGCCTAATGCTAAAAAAAACGTACCCCCAGAGGTATCATACATTTAGATTATTTTAGTTGCCAGGTATTTAAGTCCTTCATTACTTACCGCGGGTTTTTGAGTCCAAAATCACCGTTTAAAACATATCTTATCCCTAAGTTGTCAAATATAATGACAGAGGCAATACTTTTATATTTTTACGTCTGAAACCTAAGCGTAGCTAACAATATTTAGGTGTAAATTTAAATTTAATTAAAATAAACCTAAGTCGCATCTAAAGTTGTACCACGTCAGAAAATAAATTGTTCACTGCATTGCGATTACTCTAGACTCTATGGTATGCAGACTTTCAGTTATACTAAACGCTAGTTTGAATTCTGAGTCATGCCCATAATAAATTCTATTTAATTACGTACGCAATTTTAATATAAATCAGCTTTATTTTATCACTGGTTCAATAAAAACATGCACAACCCAGAAGGCAAGTCAAACGATGTTGATTTTGTGGTTTGAATACAAAAACTATTAATAGGAGATTCATATTATCCAATTCCTAAATAATTTTCCAAGTTTTGTGGGACATGTTTAAGTTTTATAATCTTTTATTTTGCTTAATTAACTAATCATGAAAAAAATCTAAAATATCGCTTCGTTAAGCTGGAACTACGTGATTCTATTGTATCGAAATGGTTCAATATAGTTTTTTACCTGAACTTTGGTAAAAACTAACATCAACATCCAATCACGTGCGACCCAAAATATCTTAACAATTTCGTTTACCCCGTGCTGTGATCAGATACAAGGTATTTTTTGTCATTCCCTAACTGTGATAGTGGTCAGTTTTTCCTGTTTTGTTGTGGGATGAATTTTATAAAATGAATATTCGAAATAGATTACCGGGACAATCTTACATCATATTATTATGAAAGTGATTTCTAATGAAGGATTTTAAAAAAGGAATGCTCGCAAATATGATTGTGTAAAAAAGATGTTTATTAATAAAAAAAAATCAGTACTAAGTAAAATAACACGTCGTTTCAAATCAAATTGTTGTAACTTCTTCCTTAATTATTACGTTTGAAATAAATGAAAAAAGTTTTATGTCCATAAAACTTGTTAGCTGAGCAACATTTGTTTATTTATGTATGTATTATTATATGTATATATTCAATAATGTAGTACGCTACGCTATAGAAGACTAGTCACACGCCACATTATCATAGTATTCAACGGATATGACTGCTAATGGAAATTAACCGTGCTTCCTGTCATTCGCGTAATATTCCCATGAAAGATATTACTATGCAATGCATTGAAAATTCAGTTCCATAACTTCTTATACAAGTTGAAGACCTAAAGCAATACGCTATGCTGTTGATATCGCTAGGCGCTACCTGTACAGATTTTATTTGTTCTATTTTGTGTCTTTAGCTTATAATTAGTGCAAGTGTTGCAAGCAAGTGTTGTTGTTTTTATACTTATGTCAGCAATTCGAAGATAGTATAGGCTCCAACAAAAAATATCCTCAACCGTAAATAGCGGTTTATAAATTACCTTTTGTTGTAGTAAACATAAAAATTAAGTTGGCAACATTCCACAGGTGGATTTTGTCAATGTCAACTAATGTCATCTGTCATCTGTATTTAAGGTACATTTTGATTAAAATCTAACAACAATCCTGTTTAATTTGATAACATTTTAACCAATCAGAATAACATTTTGTTCTAGCCACATAACTGTACATAAGAGAGAATTTATTATATTGGTTAAACACACTGCGAGAAATGTGTGCAGGTTTTACAACATTTTGTGGAATAAAACTTAAAGAAACTATTACTATGTTTAGTGATTTTTTAGTTTTCGTCTAATTAATTTGTATCTTAGAAACGCAAAGGATAGAATGTATGTTAGTGGAAAGTGAATAACTTATTTGAGATAAAATCGCTGCACAATACTGACTTTCTAACAGTAATGTTATAAATTGCGTTGGTAAGTTTCACAAACAAATACTAAGATTAATTAAAATGTAAATTTTTTGGAACATTTCCATGATTCTTGACAATTTTTTAAATGCTTTTAAAAAACAAGTTGCAGGTCATTTGTAATGTTTCTATTCTTAGATATTATATTAATTAGTGATTTACGATAAATAATAAAGCTAGGTAACTCCCCTTTCAGTGTAGCAAAGTGAAGTTTAAAGTTAACTGTTACCAACAAATTGTATATAAAACATTCCAAATCTATGTGTATCCCATTATGTATTAAGTTAAATATATTTTCAGAAAACAATGGACAAAACAAACACTGCGTCATTACGCAGCATGGCTCCTCATTGGAGTCTTGCTGGAGACAAACAGCTCCTCAACATTTTACAAGATATACATCAGGTAACATTTTTTTTTATCTGACATAACAAGATTTAAACTGATATATAAACACAGCTAAACACTCACATATATTCGTCCGGTGGCGGCACCGACTAGTTTCGAGCCCATGGACATTCATCAGGATGAGTGGTACTGGTATTATTTCGCGGACGTGGCCCGTCGAATATATGTGATTGTTTAGCCGTGTTCATATATCAGTTTAGTATAATGTCTCACGAAAGTTTGAATAATTTAATAACAAGATGTTTTACTTAAAAAAAACTAAAAACACCTTGCTGGCTCTATCCCTATGACACTCAGGGGAAGAATATGAATCAAATAACATGCCTATTATCAAAATCTCTTCATTTATTAAGGCTGTAGGGGGTTATATCTAAACTTATGCACATATAAATACATATTCCAGAAAAAATATTAGCCATGTACCTTGAGTGATTTAATCAGAGAAAACAAAATCTTTTCCTGTAGGTATTTTTCATAACTTGGTTATTCATGATAACTTGAAGTTTATTGTGTTTATACATAAGTTATTTTAACTTGCAGAAAATAATGACTCGTTGCCAAGAGACAAATGCAAAATTGGAGGAAATGGCGAATGCACTGGATGGGGCTAACATTGATCTGCAGAATGTCAACAATAAGTAAATAAATTTATTTATTTTTCTAGACATTAATTAGAAATACTTTGTTATTTATATTAGTAAACAATATACCATTTAAAAACCTGTACCATAGACAAAGTAGAATTTACACTAAAATTTATTATTATATAAAATCTTAAATATTTCTGGTTAAATACTTTTCTCACATAGCTGTTAGCTACACTTATTTTACAATATCTCTAGTTTTTTTATATCATATGGTGGCAAACGAGGTAGCGGCCACATGAAATCGCTGAAATAGCGAAGTTACCTTTGGCCATAGACATACGCAATTGCATATGCATTGCCTACCTTTAATCAACGGAGGATGCACAGAAAAAAAATATTTCCATGCATCCTCTCATATCTCTCAATTTTGACACAATAAATATAAATATGTCTGCCATGTATGGTAATTTGATGTGGTTTTCATTTGTTTATTTAAGCTTTCAATTGAAACGAAGTATAGGAAGATACTAAAAAGTTTTTAATTTATTAAAATAACATTTGTGTTAATGTATTTAGCACTAAATTGTCTTATTAACCTTTAATCCAATACCATAAAGTATTATATTTACGTTTTGACTATCAAACAGGTTCATGGCCCTGAGCAATAGCCAATTTATTGAAAGTAGAGTTTACGAAGATGATATAGTTGTTACTAACGAAGATACCACAACTAAGGTAAGGAATAATATTAAATTTGTCCAAATTATTTTTTTATTTAAAAATGTATATTTTAGTTAATTAAAAAAAACTAGATGGCATTCGTTAAATAAATGGCGCTATTAGAATATCTGTTTTTTGTTTCATAGCCATTACCTCTAAAGGATCCAGAAACAGAACTGACAAACTTAAAACAGAGCCTTAAGACTTTGGAATCAATGCACGAGTGTGTTAGAATATTGAACAGCGAAAGTGATTCCGATTCAGATGATGATGATGGCAGGTATGTTGCTAAATAATCCTACTAATATAAATGCGAATGTTTGGATGGATGGATGATGGATGTATGTTGGAAGGTATGTCCAGGAGGTCTGAACGGATCTTGATGAAATTTGGCATAAATGTAGAACATTTTATGGAATAATACATAGGGTAGAAATTAAGGTTCTTTTTAATTCCGCGCGGACGGAGTTTTAAATATGTATGAAAAAGAACTGTCTTTTCGAGGAATATACATTTTGAATTAAAAAAAAAACTAAACAATAAGAAAAAGTATAAAAGGAAAAAGGTCAAATTTATGCAACCCCGGGGCCGGTGTTGCCTTAAAAATAAAAAAATATATTTTTTTTAAATTAATAATTAATGTGCCAGCTTATAATAATAGTTCTAGATTTTATTATGTAATTTTAAGGCGTAATATCTTTTTTCAGAATGGTATTCAGGCCTAAAGATCTGTATTCTCAGCGACCATTACCTCATATCATAGGATCACAAGCATGGAAGAGGAAATGGCATGCTGGTAAGACATTTTGTTGACTTTTTACCCCCATTCGCATTAAAAAATATAAAACACTTGATTACTCTACCCTCTAAGTGCATCTACAAAATTTTTCGCGCACTTCATTTGTTATGCGTCTTATTTATTAATTTTATTTTAGTAATTTGTTTTTTTTTATCTCTTTCAGGTCTTATAGCAGAAGACAGTGACAGCGATAGTTCAACATCAAAGGCAGCTGAAGCCGCACCTGACCAGTACTCGGTGTCTGAATCTGAGGAATCTGACATACAAACTGACAGATTGAATATACCACAGAGAACGGTAACATTAAAACTAATCATATTAAGAACGCAATTTGTTTTTTTTTACTTTTTATACTATAAAGTAGCTAAGAAACTACGTAGCATAAGTTACTCAGTCGTTAAAATAATAATTAAGCATCAACAGAAAAAGATTTTTACCGTTCTTATCCATCCATCCATCCATCTTCATTCCATAGTAATTATGGAACTAGCGCACACTAAGCATATCTCTAATATAAGAAATCAACGAGACATAATTGCATCTTTATCTCTAGTTTACATTATGCCAGTACAGTAGTGCTGGACTGGAATGGAATGTTTTGACTCTGCCAGTTAGTGGTATGTGAGTTTTATTCCAGTGTTGATTTTGAACGCTACTGTTATACTGGTATAATGTAAACTAGGCATTATAATAAGATTTTTGACTCAATTTGTATATGTAATGTAAGGAAGAAAATCCGACACTGCCGGCTTACTGGCGCAACACTAGCCTTACTAAAATGTCGATGTTGATGTCCCCTCACTTATCATTCTGACACTTGACTTTGTAATGAAAGCGTGACATTCGCGACAAAGGATTCTAACTAATCTATATATATAAAAGAAAGTCGTGATAGTTACACTATTTATAACTCAAGAACGGCTTCACCGATATGGCTGAAAATTGTTGAGGAGGTAGCTTAGAGCCAGGAGACGGACATAGGATACTATTTATTCATTTTTTTTATTCGAATTTATGCCTTGAAGAGCTGCTTTTTATTTAACTTACTAATATTATAAATGCGAATGTTCAGATGGATGTGTGGATGAATGGGTGGACAACATATATATATCCACGCGGACGGAGTCCCGGGCGACAGCTAGTAATATCTAAAAGTAATAAAATGATTATATAGATATCATCAAGCAGTTCAATGGTGGAGTCAGAGCAGAGTGCGCCACCAACTGCAGTCAGTCAGGCGCACATCGCTGCTGAGTTGGCGCGCAAACTGGCCGGCAACTTACCTGAGGTACAGATACTAAATAAATACAATAATATTTATAATCTATATTTTTATATATAAAAATCAATTGCTTTTCGTTAGTCTCGCTAAAACTCGAGGACAGCTAAACGGATTTATCTTATCTTGATCTTGAAATGTTCATGGAGGTCTTGGGAAGGTTCTAATAATTGCCGGGAAACAATTAAGTTGTTTTTGTCATATAAAAACGGCTAAACACTGACGTCCGATGGCGCCACCGACTAGTTTGGAGCCCATCAAGGGCCCTTCATCAGAATGTTTAGCCGTTTTTATAATATCTCACGAAAGTTTGAATATTTTTTTCGTTCGTTAGTTTTTAATATTATATTGTAATATAATATTTGAACAAAAACATGTACTATTCAGATTCCAGTAAGAACGCCAGAACCAGAGATAACAAAACCCCAGCAAGTTCCCGCCGTTTATAAACCACAAAAACCTCCTACTTGTAAGTCGTCTTTATCTTGTTTTAAACGTAATTTAAATTAAATTTTTATTTTTTATTAAATACCAATATTAAACTCAATGCCAGTGCTAAAAAACCGAGTTATTTGTGTAATGGTGGCGCCACTATTGTTAATACAGCAATCTGATTGGCTGACACTATAACAATCAGTTGTCATTTCAAATTAACGGTAGTTCGAAATTTTGTATAAGTTTATTAGTTAAGTTATAAATGCGAATGTTTAGATGGATGGATGGATGTTTATTTGAAGGTATCACCGGAACGGCTCAACGGATTTAGCTAAAGTTAGACATAATTTTAACAACATAGTCTAGAAGAACACATTGGCTACTTATTAGGTTTGTTTTTAATACCGAACGTACGGAGTCGCGGGCGACAGCTACTATGTATATAATTTCTCAAATACAGTAATTTTTTACAGCTACAATATTCTTCGATGAACCACCTCCTCTGGATGACACATATCAATCAGACGGAGACGACTACAACGACGAAGACGATGATATATTTGCAGAGTTGCACCAAAATAAACCAACTGTTAGTACAAATAAAGACCAAAGTCGTTTGAACGAAGATCTTTTTGGTGGCCTAAACAATTCTAGTAATACTGTTGACATATTTGGATCTGAGCAGAAAGAAACTATTAAACCAAATTATGAGGAAACTGAACCTGCTAAAGATAAGGTAATCTATACCTTATTTAGTAGAATATAAGGTCTTAAATATCGTTGCTAATTTTTATTTATTTTCACAGAAACCAATCGGTGGAATCTCAGTTTTTGGATCTATGAAAGGAACCGAAAGTATTGGAGCTTCAATTTTAAAACGTAATCCACGCAAAACTTACAGTTCAGATGAAAGCGATGAAGATATGTTTAAAAGTAATCAGAAATCCATACAAACTGGATACACTGAAGGCGTACCATCGAAAAATAATGCCAATACAGTAACAAATAAACCTAAAGATGAGACACAAACAGATATACAAGATAAACCAGAGACTAAAGAAAAGAAACCTGGGAAACCAGAAAGAGATATCTTAGATGATCTATTCAGCAAAAATAAGCCTAGTCAAATTAAAAGCAAAGATACCAAGCAAGAATTAATTACAAAAGACAAAGACCTCTTCAGTGATAACCTTTTTGATGATATTGATGACATTTTCACAGATAATAAAGTACCTATAAAAGAAGCTAATAAAAATGTAAAATCAATATTTGATGATGATGATGGTGATGACGATATATTTGCAAATGTCACAGTTAATGAAACTAATGCACCCAAAAACAACGTAAACGAAGCAAAAGACTTATTTGATAGTGACAGTGAATTGTTTTCAGATATTCCTATAAAAACTAATATAGAACAGCCTTCTATAAGCAAAGTTGATAATAATGCAATTAGTGATAAGAAAAATATTAAAAGTATTTTTGATGAAGATAGCGATGATGATATATTTTCTAATGTTCAAATTAAAGATGTAAATATTATAAATAATAAACAAAACAACAAACAAACAAACATAGAAAATCCTTTAAAATTAAGTGAAGATGATGATAATAATAATCTATTTTCTCAAAACACTTTAGCTACAGATAAAAAAGATCTGGCTGAAAGCACAGAAAAGCTAGAATCTGATAATGAAATTAAAAATAAAATAAGCCAAAACAATCTTGCCAGTAATATATTCTTAACTCCCCAAACCACACAGCAAACATCAGAACAGAGTCCAGCTTTATTTGATGATGATGAAATTGATGAATTATTTACAAATAACCACATAAAAGAAAATGTCATTTTAGAAGGAGATATTAATCCTACAAATTTAAACAATGAAAAGAAATTAACTTCACAAGAATTTGATGATAAATTGAAAACTGAAGTTACTAATAAAAGTATAGATTTTGAAAAAGAAAATTCCAATTCCTCTTCTGAGTTAGCAACAGATCCTAAAGCTATAAATGTTGATTCATTCAAGAATGATTCAGAAAGTCATGGAAACAATTCTCAAAATGATACTAAGATTGAAAGCGACAGTGAAATATTTGCTACTAAAATGGAAAATACTCCCCTACCTTCACTACCTACTGAACAGTCTCCCGCAGACATATTCAATGATATATTTACCGATGTACCACCAGACTTTGAAAAACCGAAAGAACCTAAAAAAAGTAAAAACATCAACGCACTTTTTGATGATGATTCAGATGATGAAGCATTATTTTTCAAAAAAGATGATGCAATATCTGACGAAAAACCTGACGTTAGTTCTACGGTTAAAGATGATCTATTCAGGATATTTAGTGATGAACCACCTGCTATTGATATAGATTTGCCGACAGAAACTACAAATGAAGTCAGTGAACCAGAGTTGCCAAAGCAAATTTTATCTAAAAACCTTGATGAATTGTGCAACCAACAACCAAAATTACATGATGGGAATCAAACAAAGGACTTCAAAGAGAAAGAAATCGTTCATAAAGTTAATGATGATATTGATGGTAGTAAAAAAACTATTGGAAAACTTAAAGCTATGAATTTAAACATAAATGTTAATACATTATTACCTGGTGCTTCTCCTAATAAATCTAAACCCATCGAAGAACCTGACGGACTTTTATCCATCCCGGATACAGATAAACAAAACGACACAGAAGAAATAGTGTCAACGCTTGTGAAATCTGTCAGCTTCGAAGGTGACGCGGATTCGGAACTTCTAAACAATAAATTGTCTAAAGAAAGAGCTAAAATTCAAGTTAAAAGACGACCATCTACAAGAAGAGCTAGGCGAGAAGCTGTTAAAAAATCAGGCATTGATTTCGGCAGTACTGACTCAACAGACAACTCTAGTTCAATAGACAGTCCAAAAAGTACAACAAAAACAGTTGTAAGTACAGAAAGAAATGTCAAATCTAAAGTTGTATATATTTTAAACGACGAAGATATATTTACGAATGTTAAAACGGAGAAAAACGGCAATGAAAATGCAAAAATTCAAACTTGCAATGAAAATTTACAAACTCCCGTGAATAGTACTGAAATTTTCGTTGAAGACATTTTTAAACAAACTCAGTCTTCCAAAATAGAAAGTGATTCAATTAAATCGTTAAAAACTATAGACAAACAACAGACAATCGAAAAAGAAAATATAAATTCTTCAACAAAACCCGACAACTCTCAAAAACCAGCAAAATGTAAAGCATCTATATTTGATGATATGAGCGATGAGGAAACTGAATTATTTTGTAATAAAAAACCAGTTGTCACAAATACTAAAAATATATTTGGATGTGACAGTGACGAAGAACTTTTTGGAAACAACAGCAAGAAATCTGTAGATATAGTCGAAAAGAAATCAACTATTAAGGTTGACGTGAAAAAATCGTTATTTGACGACGATAGCGGAGATGACCTCTTTGGTGGTGGAAAGAATACAGGTAAGTCACAATTTATTTTCTTACGGAATACGAATAAATGGCAACACTGACTCAACTGACACACTTATTATTTTTTTGAAAATTGAATATTCTTAAAAGTAAAGATTCTCGTAATTTTTTTAAAATTAATTTCCAAAAAATTTTTATTTAATATTTGATCCATATCATACTTTACCATTAATAGTTTTTTTGTTAATTTCAGGAAGAAGTATATCAATAAAGCCTAAAGAAATAAAACCAACGAAAACAGAGGCTGTTGTCAAAGATCCTTTATCATTGCTTTCTGATGATGATTAACATCAGCTTAGAATTTTATATTCAAAAATGTACCAGAACAAATTATATAGTTAACACTTTCACTGCTGTCTGGCAATTCCGTTTTCATACAGAAAAGGCATTAAAGGTGTTAAAGAATTGTTATAAATCTTCAAATATCTTGTCGGCTCAAGTACACATCTGTACGGAGCCGCCAAGATATTTGATAATTACTATACAGTTGTATTTACTACTTAAGCGAATTAATGCAGGCATAGTGCCAATGTAATTAAAAAAATTAAAATATCTATTGTTAAAATTTTAACTATTTTTAAGATAAAAAGCTATAGTAAACTTAAGTGCAAATGTCAATCATTCCAATATAACAATGAGATTTATAAATATATAAATATATTTTATATAAAAAAAATAATTTATTGTAAATAGTTGCTGAGGCGCTTATATTTGAATTAATTTTAAATGGTATTGGGCAAATTGGCTTTAATTTTTTTTATTCATACATTAAAAAAAACTATTTAAAAAATATAATTTTAAAATCTATTGCTTGCAAAATTTTAAACGGTCTTTTTATTCTATTCTTTATAGTCAAAGATAATGCATTAAATTTATTTTCTAAATTACCATATTTGAGTATTGTTAACATTCGACTCAACTTTTCTACAAATGTAACTATGTATGTCATAAGTAACGTAAAAAAGTACAATAATAGACAATAAATTCTATTCTTATGCATAACAAATGTTTTATAGTGCAACCATAGATATATAACCTATAGATACGGTGACGTCATCAAAAGTAGATTCTTGAAATGTCATTTTGTATTTTAAATGAAGATATTTACCACCTTTGTGCTTCGGATTTGGTATATCTATAGATTTATATCTATGTGTGCAACATATTAATTCCTTACAATCTAATACATTTTAATTGCACATGTGCAATATTAATTGAACCATTTCGTACATAAGCATATGTTAAGGAAGTGAAAAAGAAATACTTAATTAAACGTCAGTTTCCACTGTCGAAATACCAATTAAGCATATTGTCTCAACTTTCTTAAGGAGAATGAAAGGGATGTCAATGTGTTTTCACACCAGGGTTTCAACAGTGGAACTATAGTTGTGATTCAATGATAATGCAAGGATATTTAGTATTACTTTTTTTGGTCTGTTTACAAAGTTTCGTGTTCTTTCTACCACTCTTAGAATCTTGCCATAAAGTGTATAATTTTTATATTGATAACCTAACTATGCGTAAGATTCTATACAGATTTATCACGTTCAGTCCTTTCCAAATAATTGCCAATTTTGTTTTTAACTTATTCCCATATTTTTATTTCAATTCGCCAATACAACTCATGAACTGCGATACTGTTATTGTTTAATTATGTGATTATTATAACTGAATTTACTACATAAAGTGCCTGTATTTATATGATAAAGTTGTATGGTTTTGTTGATAATAAACGTTGCTTATTGCTCTATTATTTTTAATAACTCTTTTATTAAATTACTAGTGATCGCCCGTGACTTCATCAGCGCAGATTTAATGAAAATTGTAGGCTATACTCATTGTGCATCAGGTACCTTTACTTTAAAGTCCCGTTAAAACCTGTTTTTCCATTCCGGAGTTTACCCGGAACAAACGCGTCCTTGCAGACAGACATACAGAAATTTTATTTCTAATTTCGATAACTATAAAACAAAACCTCGTCGGCGAAAATTAGTCAGAGTAACAGAACGGCAATGCTGCTTTTGCTATAAAAATAAAAAAAAAAGTAAATGTCAACTCTATGATGCTGTCAAAAACTTAAACGTCAGTTGTTTTTCAAATAACTAAACTCGTGTGACTTGTCCGTTTATAAATTTATAATTGCGTAGTATACTTAGGACTTTGATATATAATATTACAGTATCATTGAAAATGAAAACCAATAACAAGAAGAAAACTAAAAAACAAAAATCTAAGAATAGGCCAATTGTAAAGAATAAAAAAGAACGTATTCTTGTCATAGCGCAGGAATTCAAATTCGCGAAATTACTATCATCTAATGAGAAGAAAACACGAGATCGTGTATTGAAAGCATTAAAGAAATGGTTACTTAATTGCTTTGAGAAAGGATACGGTACGTAATTTTATAACTTTGTGTTTATGCAGTAAACATGTGAGATTGTTAAACATAACCTCAAAAACAAATTTAGGAACTGTCACAAAACAAAACCCTGTAATTTAAACTAGCATTTAATCCAAAAAGAATTATAGCCCTTACAACTTAAGGCAACGTAATAAGAGATACGGAATAAACTATTGCACAAAATACGGTATATACATAAAAATATTGTTTTGTAAATTGCAGAGTTCAAAGAAGATGACTTTTTCAGAGTGTGGAAAGGTTTGTTCTATGCTGTATGGATGTCAGACAAACCGTTAATACAGGTAAAAGAGTAACGTAACGATATTAAAAAAACAAATAAAATATTGCCCTTGTTTTAAGTTATTCAACAAAAAGCAAAAGGCAAGCTAATGCCTTCCGCAGTAACCAATTACGAAATGTTACAATAAAACAATAGGTTCATGTAAGAAGACCATTTTATAGTAACTCACAGATTCGACATGTATTTATTTTACAGGAAGAACTATGTGAAAACATAGCTGGCATATTAGATCAGTTCCCTCCGGAGCAGATAAAGAATGCAGCTCTCATGACAAAGGCAGGCTTCAAAATGTTGGCTACAGGGTGGTATGGAATTGACCAACATAGAATTGATAAATTTATGATGGTAAGATAGTAAAAATTATGAATAGTGTAAAAACTTTGTGTTTTTCCAAAGTGAGATTATTGTGAAACACAATTTTTCCTGTATCATATTAATTCTTCATAAACAGAGTATGTTCATTCAATTTCAATTCACTTTAATAATTTTCACACAATTACAATATGTAACTGTGGGTTTTTGAGTCCAGTAAACCAATTTAAGACATCATTATTTCTGTGCTATCAAAGATAATGACAGGGATAGTGATTTGTTTTATATTGATATTTTGGTGTCGGAAACCCATGGTTAATATTCATAATAGTGTAAATGATAAAGTTTTGATCTTGTTATAAAATATTCTATTTTATTCATAATTCTCTGTTTTTGCAGCTGGTACGTAGATACTTGCGTGGTAGTTTACGATGTCTGTTACGCTGCAAGTGGAGCTTAGAGAGTTGCAACATTTATACTGAAATGTTAACGGCAGAGGATGGTACAGTATTATTCGAACTAATTTATATTCATAACTTTTCTTTTTAACTAAAGACTACAACTTTATCTTACTAATATTATAAATGCCCATTTGGATCTGATATCTTACGTTCATATGGTGAAGGAAAACATTGTGATGCAACCTGTATTTATCTGAGAATAAAAATCAATGATATATGTGTGAAGTCAACCCTCAGCAGGCCAGCATGGCTGACTATGACATAGTCACCCCTAACTTAGGGTAAGCTCCGAGCCCCTCAGTGGCAATGTATAGTGAGCTGATGATGAATGTTTGGATGAATGGATGTTTGTTTGAATGTATCTCCTGAACGGCTGCATGAATTTCAATGAAATTTGACATAAATGTTGAACACAGAGTGGAAGAATACAAAGGCTAATTAAGTTTTGACTAATTTAGTGAAGACACAGTCACGGGCAACACCTAGTTATCTATAAATGTATGTATTTAAATTTACAGGTTTATTAGCAGTGAAAACACCAACATATGCTCGGAATGCTTTATCTCTAATATTGCATTTCATTGATTGCTTCCTTGAAGAGTTGGCTAAAGTAAGTTATTGTACGTATAAGGTAATGTAAAACTGGACAACAGTCACACTGTATGCCAAAGCACCAATTTTTTTACTATTGTTTTAAAAAAGAAATCCTGGTACGGTTTTATAATTTAATTAGATATTTAATATAAATAATAGAAATTTAACTTAATCCATAGTCTATAATATCCAACTGGCAACACTGTTTTTCTGTTACTGTATTAAGCAGCTTCCTTTTTCCGTGTTTACAAAATCTAATGCACAACAAGAATGAAGAGTTATTCAAAATTTCGTGAGACATTATACTAAACTGATATAAAAACGGCTAAAAACTCACTTATATTCATCCAGTGGCGGCACCGACTAGTTTCGAGCCCGTCGGGGGCCCTTCATCAGGATGAGTTGTACTGGTATTATTTCGCAAACGCGGCCCTCCGCTCACTAACTAGTCGGTGCTGCCATCGGAGGAATATGCGTGAGTTTTTAGCCGTTTTTAAATCAGTTTAAGAATGAAGAAGCTTTCTAGTACATCACCGCATACATATGTAATGTTACAAACATTGTATTGAGTACAAAGCTTAAATAAATAAGTATATACTGCATTAAACTACTTGTAGATATCACAAGGCAAGATTCCTGATGAAAGTATAGTATGCCTGTTGCGGCCATTTTGTTTGCTGGTGTGCGGAGGTGAGGGTGCAGCAGTGAATGCTGCGCGGTCGCTGCTCAACGCACTCCTGTACCAGTCAGACTTCGGCCTGCAGTATGCTGCTAAGAAACAAGCCTGGCAAAAGGTATGTACAGTCTCTTTCTTTCTAAAGATAGTTATTTGCTGTATATTTTTTCCTTTCTCTATTTTTAAATTTACTGTTTAATATTTAAGGGTTATAATCTCTTTTAATTTACTAGCTGTCGCCCGTGATTTTGTCCCCGCGTGAATTATAAGAAAACTTATATAGTAGCCTATCTGTTCTTTCAAACTATGTTCTACATCTATGCAAAATTTCAGTGGGATTTATTCAAACGTTTAGAAGATATCTTCTGACAAACATCCTTCCATCCATCTAAACATTTGCATTTATAATATAGATTTCTCGATCTGGGTGACACAACATATAGGACTGTTGCTAATTTACCATTAATCTTTGCCAGTTTCAGGATTAAGGGATTTTGCAGGATTAAGGAAACTAACATCAATCGTACACTTAACTAACTCTAGAACCATTCGTGTTGCACAACGTTTGCATGATGGAAATTAATTTGTGTTACTTTAATTTCAGATGGGATGTCCCCCGGGCGGACCAGACGCGTTGGAAATGGTGATTGAAGATGGTGATGAAGAAAATGATGAGAATGACGAAGATGATAATAAAACTGAATCGTAAGAAATATAGACATACTACAAAGGAAACAAAAAATAAATTTACTGTTTTTTAATTTTTTTGTAAGAAACGGGGTTCTTACCACAATTGAACTTTTCTTTGAACGTTTTCTTACGAATGTTATTATAATTAAAACAACTAAAATTTAAAGTTGTATAAGAAGTGAATTTATTATCTATTCCAGTGGTCCAGTTTTAGACCCTCGGGCGGGCAAAGTGAATGTGGAGCTGGCACAGCTGCCGGTGCCGAGCGCGCTGCTGGCGGAGGAGCTGCGCCGGCTGGCGGACACTGTCTCCCGCACACACAAAGCGTGCAAACGCGCCAAAGCCTGCATAGAAAGGTAGGTAACCTAGTGAGCTGAATGGATTTAGACAGTTTCTGCCAACAACCGCCCTTCATACATAAAAGTAAATCTTCGAAACGATTATAGTTGCTGGCGATTTATGCATTGTCATATAGTTTCATACAGCGCACGTCATCGATGTTTTGGTTTTGAATCGCAGAAATCCTCTCCAACGGTAGGCAACGCATATGCAATTGCGTATGTTTATGGGCAACAGTCACTTCGCTATATCAGCGACTTCAGGTGTATAAAAAAATGAGTCTTTCGCAACCTGTTTATCAAAATCATTGTGAGAAGTCACTGCAATTTTCAAGATGGCCGAGCAAATCTGTACAAATATTCATTATGCCTTTACTGACATATTCTACGTTAGTTGCATGGAAGTCAATGCGATACTAGCGACGCAATATTACAATTGGTTTCGAAGATTTACCTCTCTTTGTGTCTACAGTTTCGTATGTATATATACAGTTTCGTACAACTGAGCAACAACGTGTACCCGCTGCGCATCAAAAATACAGACTTCCTGGCAGACCTGGAGGAGGCAGCATTACCCAAGCCTTTGGAAGCAGCTAAACAACTTAAGGACTTGGAGAAAAGACTCGCTACTTCCGCCGATGAACTGGCATTGAGAGGTAAACAGAAAAATATTAAATAAACAGTCTTTAGTTCAACATTTTTTAACTGTAATTGGTTTTGAGTAGACATGCTTCATGCTTTTCTTAATCATTTTCCACAACTTTATAAAAATATAGTCAAAGATCAAGTTGGCGGTTGATAAATTGCGCGGTTTTTGCCTCATTCTAAAAAAAATATGAATAATTTTCTTTTCAGGTTTAAGTCGCAAACATCGCAAACGTCTTTTAGCGAAAAGTCGCGCTGGACTAAGTATAGTTGAGGATGTTGTCAAACCTGACGAAGTGCCAGCTGAATCTACTGTAAGTTATTTTTAACAAGTAAAACAATATTCATTACGAATTAATTTTATTCTCATATAAAAAAAGCACATTTTTTTTAATCTGAACAAATTAAAAAAAATATGTGACTTATCGAAAGCTTCTTTTAATATTTAGTTAATTGTTTTAAAAATAATGAATATTAATATTTACAGAATGGAGATTGGAATATTGAAGAAACAAAGTCTGATGACAAACAAAAGAAAGAAAATGATACATCCAATAAAAAACCAGCAAACAAAAAGAGGCCAAACAAGAAACGTAAACTTGAAGAGAAAACAACTAAAGTGGAAAATGTTAAGAAAGTAAAAACTGATAAGAAAGAACAAACACAAAAACATTCTGAAATAAAAATGGCTACAGCAAAAATGAACGGTGATTCTAAACCGAAGCAAAAACTAAAAAAAGATAATATTAAGAAAATGGAAGTAGATAAAGACAAAGAGAAAGGTAAAGACAAGACTCAAGTAGCTGCATCTAAGAAAAAAGATAATTTAGTTAATAAGGAAAATAGTAAAAATAATGCAAAAACAATAAGTGAAAAGAAAAATACAGAAACGCAAAAAGTCAAAGAAAAACCTTCACAAAAACCTATGAAAGCAACTCTAGTAGTTAATAAAGTGAAAAATAACAAAAATAAAATATCACCGAAAACTTCAAAATCAATAAATGCAAAATTATCTTTAAATACACCGAAGAAAGTTAAATTTGTTTTAAAAAATAATGGAGCTCAAGCTCCGGTGGATTATTACAAAAGTGTTAGACAGAGTCCGAACATACCTTTTGACAGCAGCAAGCAACCAACAAAAACTAACCTCAAACCTTCAACACCGTCACCAATCAATCCATTCTTTAAAAAGAAATTGAGATTAGCAAAAATGTGAAACTAACCTAAAGACAATATTTGCTTTCAGATAAAACAAATCAATGAAATCTTTTATAAAAATAAAACTAGACGATATTATGATTAACTTCCTACATTTCCGCGGACAGTGATTTTATAATTTCAAGTTTTTGCATATTAATGACAAAACAATTGTTTCGTAGAGAAAATTACATTTTTTCTCGTTCTTCCATACATTTAATTAAAGCCATATATATTAGCTCAATTATTAATTTAAATAAATCTGAATTTATTTCCAAAATACATATTACATACATCAAAGTATGAAAACTAGGTAAATCATAATTTTGCGTTACAAAGAACAAATCTATTTGTTCTGTGAATTACATATTTTTCAACAACGGGTAATTAGGTTTCGAAAGAAACGTTATGTCGAGGCTTTTCTGTTTACCCAACATGTTAGAACTATATTTGTAGAGGAATTTAATTCAGATTTGAAATTGTAAAGAAAATAAATTAAATTAATATTGTATTTCCTGTTTTATGGCTTCTGAATTGTAAGCTCTATTGCAAATAACAAGAGATTTGTTTCTCCGTTGTGTTTGTAATTCACACTTTATTAGTGTTAATTTTCATGACAGATTTAGCTGAATTGTTATAAAGGTTAATGTTTTGTATTAAATTAAATTCTTAATTTTACCAGTGTTTTTTTTCAATTAGATCCTAATATTGAAGAAGGTTAAAGTTAAATAAAACGAGCATTTTATAACCGTGTATATAATGTATGGTACTATGCATCCATTCGCTTCAGCGCTATATTTACAACTAATATATTACAAGTGGTCTTCCCTTACATTTAAGTCGCAGGAACAAAATCTGACCATAGATTAATTTACACTGTATATAATTCCCCACATTTATAAATTCATGAATTGTCACTAATATTAACACGATTGCAATGTAAAAAAAAACATAGTCTATGGTCAATTTAATTCCATTGTGGCAACATTACTTTAAAAAAAAATGTAGGACCACAATCTATTATGCAATTTACAAATCGACATTTACGTCGTACGCAACGATATCGCGAACAAATCTATCACATGTCAATATTTACAACTTGATAAGTAGCAAATATACATGAGAGCATTGTATTCACTACTCAGCAAATGGCTCCGTAAATATTCTATTTGTTAGGCCCGTAAAGAAAAACATCTTATACATTTTATAATCTACAGAAACTTGCTCGAGTTACCTCGGTCAGTCGTGGCCCGATTTCTAACATCTAACAATCAACATCCATATAAATTCATTTCTCTTAAGCGTATAAATGAAGGTATTACAATATTATTTTGAACAACACTATTATTTCTAGAACAATCTCCACTACTAAAATTATTAATATCTCTTTCACTTCTATATTTAATGTCTTAAGGTTAGACAATCCGAAATCGTGCGAACACTCGGCAGTCGCTTCAGAGCGAGACATATGGCTTATGGGGTATACAATGTTTGTCTCTCTCTGAAACGACTGCCGAGTTTTCGTACGATTCCGGATTGTCTAAATAAGAATTTAAACACAGAATTACTTCCAATTTTATGATCGGATTCTTCTTGAATTAATTTGTTCATAATGCAGATTGTTCTAGAATTTAAAACATATCTACTTACTACACATTGCATGCTAATAAAGTAACATCAAATATATAGATGTTCTTAATTTCTCAACAATATATATTTATCTTCATTCAAACATCACGTAATTCGACACATCCGATGAAAAGAGTAGATTCATTTAAACATGTTCCGAAATCGTACGAACATTCGGCATTCGCTTCAGAGTCGACTGCCTTGTGATCGTACGATTTCAGATTTAATCTAAACGAACCTTAGGATGTAACTTTCCGTCTGATGTATCGTCACTATTATAGACCGACAGGATCACATTGATTATGGCCACGGATAAGGAATCTTCAAACGAATACTTTACTATAGATTATGTATAACCATAGAAAATAACTGAATTCAACATCGATACAAATTTTATACGGAACTGACACATGCATTGACACAAATTGTCAAAGAATAACAAGATATGTCAATAAAAGTGTAAAGTCATTGACGCGAGACGGTTGACATTTTTTTGTCTCTGTCACACCTCTAGTTTCTTTATATTTTCATCTCGCTTACACAAGTTGTAAAACACAAAGATATTTTCATACACGAAATACAAGTGTAATATTACATCATAGACTTCATTACGACAAATCTTTATCTTTGAATCTAAAAAAACTTTAAAATCTACTTACATTAAATTGCCACAGTTTTCTTTTATTGTTACGTGTTAAACACATTTGATATAGTTACATACTATCATTAATTTAATCAAATTGGTAGAAAATACATTCCCTGCAACGATCTTAACTACGCTAGTATGTTAGTACAGTCAAACCGGGATAAGCGAGAGTTTGTTCCGACGACCTTCATAAGAGAAAAAACACGGCCACACAGAAGACATGCGTCAAGTGGAAGCAATTCCGCGTTTCATCTGATGAGTATGCGTCCGTGTGGCCTAATTAAGTACTCTTTCCCTCCCCATCCTTTTTCTTATTAAGAAAGGATGGGAAGTGGAAGTGGACTTTCCGAATAAGAGGACGCATGGGAAGAGAAAATATTTTCTTTCTTTGCATCCTCTCCTCCATAGATTAAAGGTAGGCAACGCATATGCAATTGCGTATGTCTATGGGTATGTCACTTCGCTATTTCAGTGATTTCAGGTGGCCGCTCGCTCGTTTGCTACGGTATGATATATAAAAAAAAAACTCTGATAAAAGATAAAAATTACGCGTTCACTTGGACTCTCGCTTATCCAGTATCGACTGTACCAGTCAGCGCATAAAATACTCATGTCACGCGTTTAGGCCTTTCGTTCCAATAAAAGTAACATTATAAATAATTTTATGTAAGATTAATTTGTACGATTCATTTTATCTAATATATTGCAACATTCAACAATACATACATACAAAAACATCGTCAATGCTTTTCTCCTTTAAAAAGCAACGGTAACAATGTTTCGTACAGGTATTCAAACAGTGGAAACTCAAAGTAATATCAAATATTAACAATTCACAAGCCGATAAAAATGCTTTAAAACTCAAATAAATTGTAAATTTTTTAACTAATTTATCATATTTATAAAATGTTAATTGTCGATGGTCATCATTAAAAACTTTCTATCGAGGTCAAAGTATATAAGGGAATGTACCCATACTACGTGCCTCGTTTAACGGGGGGAGGAGCGGAGTCTTTAAAATACTACGGTCACTCACAGGAGCGGGGGGGGGTCTCAGATTTTAGTCACGCAGTCGTTACTTGTTTTTTTTCATCATACATAATTCACTAGTAACTTAAGTATGCATGCAGTCTTATGATATAAAGAGGAGTATGAGCCAATTTTTTTTTCAATTTTTAAAAATCATAATTATGAATTACTACGTAAAAACTAAAGACGGGGGGGGGGTCTTGACATGTACTCCGAGTGGTCACCGAGGGGTGGGAGGGGACGAAAAATCTTAAAAAAATAGGTCACGTAGTATGAGTATGTTCCCTAAGGAACAATATATTTGTAAATATTCAAACTCTATAACGCATACTGTTTTATGGCACCTTAAAAACAAAGATATATATATCAATGCAAAAATATATAACATATTATCGTCATGGTTTCAAACATTACCCATACATATTTACAATAAATGCTAAACATGAGCTTACATCTGTATTAGTTAATTACATATATGTCATGTTATAGTCCGACAAACATATCTGACCCGGTGAGACACACTAAAATATAAAATTATCAGAATCATCAGCTTACTATATCCCCACTAAGGAACTCGGAGCCTACCCTAAGTTACTAAGCCATAGTCAATGCTGGCTCAGTGCGGTTTGATTTCACACATATCTTTGAATTTCTCAGATATGTGCAGCATCAAGATGTTTTCCTTCAACGTAACAACGTCGGATAAATGTACATATGTAAATCGAAAAACCGAATCGAACCTAGGACCGAGGGATGACAAGTTAAGTGCTTTATATTTAGGTAGAAAATCCAACACAGTGACGGTGTACTGGCACAACAGTAGCCTTATTAAAATGTCCTTATGTCCCCTCACTAATCATTCTGACACTTCACTTTGTAATGAAAGCGCGCCATTCGCGACAAAAAATTAATAAAGGTCTAAAAGTATAAAGAAAATGGGAAAAAACATGACAAGACAGCTATAGTATAAGGATCTTGACGTTTTAATATTGACAGATGGCGCTAGTGAGTTATTTAGTTTGACTTATTCCCACCGGGTCAGATAATTTCGTCTATCTATTTTAATTTCACTACCTATTGGCACTGCACAGATAATCTACAAGGAAAATACTTTTATTATTAATCCTTAATTACTACTGGACACAATATTAAATATTTGAATTCATTAAAAAAACAACGATAGTGAATATAAAGAAATTAACGTGAAAATCCATTGTCAAAAAACTTATTTAAAAAATATACTTACCTTTTTTTTTGCAAGAACAAAAGTGACACTTATGTTTGTTGAACAAGTATTTTGACAATGAAAACTCAGATATGCAAGCCAACTGGACGAGGTTTTAAAATATTTATATAGATGTTATATTTTAAGCACATAAAACAGTCAAGTTCAAAATTAATTTAGAAGTAAAATAGTTAACAGAATTATGGAATGTTTTTTTTACATTTCCCAACTTAAAATCTATTTACTACTCTTGCACAAAAATAAATAGTTTTATAGTTTCAAACTGCTATGACGCAATGAAACTAGGTGTCATGTTTTTGTACACGAGTAGTGTTTACATGTCACCGACAAATTATGTCGGTTAATAAAATAACCAGACACGATGTAATGTCTAATCTGAATAAGAGAGAGTCATTGCCTATTTTGATAGACGAACTCGAAGTGAGAAACTCGGGTAAGAGAAAACTCTATAAGCGAGAAAAATATCGCGGTCCCTTTAACCCTCATCTATCCAGGTTCGGCTTTATTTGAAAAATTTGAACATCCATCATGGACAAGCAAATCTAACTATCCTATTTGTGTTAAACAAAAAATGTCAGTACTCAGTTACTTTTATATTTTTTCTTATTAACTAACTCTTGAAATTAAAAGTAGTTCGAATGATTTATTTACTTTCCAATTTAATCTTTCTAGTCAGATTTAAGACTGCTTCATTTCATAATAAGTCGGCGACATAGTATTGTAAAAGTACAACATAATGTGTTATATAAAATTCATAGTTACATAACAAAAGGAAGACGCAACTATTGCAAAAATACTATTTAACTTGTAAATCCAACATTTTCTTTAAAGATATTACTATAATTGTAGAAACGTATAAACCTCATTTCCACTACGCGATTAGCCGCGGCAAGTCGCGCTAGTGGAAAATGATATCTAAAATATATAAAGTTTACTTTGTACATGAACAGTTCATCTGTGATGTATTATTGGCATAATTAATAAGAAAATAATTACTAAAATTTACAAAGAAGAGAGATGGTATATTAAAAACTATTTGTCAGAATTATATAAATTTTAAAGGATATCAAAAGGAATATTTTATTTTAGCACTTTTATATATATATATATATATATATATATATATATATATATATATATATATATATATATATATATTGCTAGACACAAAGACACTTGATTTTAAATTATTCAAACTTTCATGAAAAATTATAATAAACTGTTATAATATATAAAAACGGCTAAACACTGAGGTATATTCATCCGGTGCCGGCACCGACTAGTTTCAAGTCCATGGCGGGCCCTTCATCAGGGTGAGTGGGACTGGTATTATTTCGCGGACGCTCACTGCGGGCTTGAAACTAGTCGGTGCCGCCACCCGACGAATATACGTCAGTGTTTTAGCCGTTTTTTTATCAGTTAAAACTTGCTTTTTTTGTTTCTTAGTGTTGCCATTAAAAATCATTATTTTGGTCTAAAATAATGCAAATTATTTATTAAACTTCTGTAATATATTTCTGACCTGTTTTATTGAAAATTAAAAGCCAATAAACAAAGGTATTTTTTGAATGAATTTAATGTAGATAAAAATGCAAAACCAGAGACAATTAATTAATTTTAAAAACAATATTTTCTATGTTTCAAAATAAAGCAATAACTCACAACATAGACAATTTACTTTTATCTTTTATATAATTATTCTGTTTTCTGTACAATATTTAGATAATTTATACAAAAAAGGTTATATTGTTATTGAATCACTATGTCCATTGAAAAAAAAAACAGTTAAGCAATTTTTTGCAATTTCTAACATAAATATGACGTCACTGGTTTTGTTTTTAAACAGCTTATATTAAGTATAGATTTATACAACTTAGTTCTATAAATTTACATCTTTGTACTAGCAAAGCCCACGCGCAGTCAGCAATGGAAGTCAACTCTAAATTGTGATGACACGGCAATGACTTCCAGCCCCGTAAAGAAGCTAAAAGCTAAATTAAATATTTTTTTTT